ATGACCATTATCATCCTGGCGCCAAGGAAAAATCAGGCAATGTGTTTTAATGACTATCACCCAGTGCTCTAACATCCATCATTATGAAATGCTTCAAGAGGTTAGTAATGGCACACATCAACTCCAGCCTCCCCAGATTGCCTTGATCCACTACAGTTCACCTACTGCTGCAATAGTTCCATGGCAGACCCATCTCCCTGGCTGTAGACTCATCCCTGGAACATCAGGATGACAAGGACACCTACATTAAACTCCTATTTATTGACTTTAGTTCCACCTTCAAAACCATAATTCCAACAAAAACCATCTTCAAACTCTGAGACCTAGGACTCTGATCCTGCCTCTGCAACTGAATCCTGACCTGCAGACCACAATCAGTAAGGACAGGTGACGACACCTCCTCCATAATAATCCTCAGTACCAGCGCATAGCAAGGCTGAATACCCAGCCCCTTACTATAGTCTTTATACACTTACAACTCTATGGCCATATTCAGCTCCAACTCCATTTACAAACTTGCTGATGACACCACTGCAGTGGGTCAAATCTCAAACAACGATGAGACAGAGTACACGAAGGAGATAGACAACTTAGTGGCATGGTGTAAAAACAACAATCTCCCCCTCAATGTGTGCAAAATGAAGGAGCTAGGGTTTGACTTCAGGAAGAGTGGAGGTGGTTGAGTACTTCTAGTTACTAGGTGTAAATATCACTAACGATCTCTCCTGGTCCATCCACTTCAATGTTACCGTCAAGAAAGCACACCAACGCCTCTGCTTCCTCAGAAGGCTAAGGAAATTTGGCATGTGCGCAATAACTTTTCACAATTTTTATAGATGCACTATAGAAAGTATCCTATCTGGATGCATCAAAGCTTAATATGGCAGCTGCTCTGCCGAAGACCGCAAGACATTACAAAGAGTTGTGAACGCAGCCCAGTCCATCACAGAAACCAGCCTTCCTTCCATTTACTCTGTCTATACTTCCAGCTGCCTTGGGAAAACAGCGAACATAATCAAAGACCTCTTCCACACCAGTTATACTCTCTTACACCCTCTTCAATTGGGCAGAAGATACAGAAGTTTGAAAATGTGTACCAACAGATATAAGAACAGCTTCCTCCTCAGTGTTATCAGACTTTTGAATGGACCTCTCATATATTAGAGTTGATTTTTCTCTGCACCTTCTGTGTAGCTGTAACATTGCGTTCTGCATTCTGTTCTATTGCCCTGTTGTACTTATGTAAGGTATGATTTGTCTGGTTAACACGCAAAACAACACTTTTCACTGTATCTCTATACATGTGACAATAATAAATCAAATCAAATCAAAAATATTATACAGTTTATAAGTCTTTAGAGTCCTTGAGGTGATATAAATACAGAGCACAGTTGCTTAGTTGTTGACTGGTATCTTGTGCAGTGGCAAAATTCATACATATCTTTGAGTTTTCTGTGACTACTTTCCAATTTGCTTTTTCAGCAGGCACTGATATTCTGAGATAATAACAGAAACAGACAATAAGAGAAAGAGAGAATGAGAGAGAGAGAGTGAGAGGGAGAGCAAGAGAGAGAGACATTCTTCAAGTTTTTGCTTAAAAATTCATATTTCCTTCTCTCTATTCTTCTGCTTAAAATAAACTTTTAAAATATAGTTGCGTTTATTCCTGAGTCTAGCTCCATTGTCTTTCCAAGTGCAATAACTGGCTGGTGACTCTTTCATCTCCCAACATGTAGAATTAATACACCAATGTGCATTATTAAAAAAAATGGTCACCATTCCTTTGGACATAAATTCCTAGCAACTATCCTAGGCATCAGTCACACCTGAGCAGACACTGAGCACCTTCATGTTGCAGGTTTGCAGCTTCTGTTTGCAGCAAAGACCAAAACCAACAATTTTCCTTTACATTCCCTGGTTTCCTCCAGTGGAAACACTACCTGGTGACTATCCAGGTTTCTCTATTTGTCACATACAGTCTAATTATTCATTCTCTATTTGCCTTTTCTTTTCTTGTTATCACAACCCAGAGTAACTACCTCACTTGCCTCTCTCCTGTATCCAATATTCTTAGACCCCTGCTTCTCAGTATTTCTGGCTCTGTGTGTTGACTTTGAGCTGTGCTGGTCTCTGTTCCCCTGTATGCATTCAGAATGGAAAGGCATCAAATTTCTGACCTCTTGAGGAGGTCTTGAGAACCTCATGAAAGTATCAAAGGTGGTCTCAATTTTAAGTGCACATACTCACCAGTCAAATGCAAGCCATTCAAATTAAAGGTCTGTCTGGTTTGGCTATTTCTTGAGGGTATGGAATTTTTGCCTGGGCACATCTGGCACTACACATTGTGCAGCAGTCACTTTAACTGCTAAGTTAACCTTGCAAAACTAATAAGGAAGTTTTCCATGCTTATCCAATCAACAAATTGCAAAAGTAAAATGTAGTCTGAATTAGATATGGTTCCCTCATCAGAGCTGCTTTCTCTTTTCTCACTTCAAGCTTTCTCAATTGAAACTTATTTTCTCTTTCCTTTCCCTTTCTTGGAAGGTCCTTTCTTGTCATTTTTTTTCATGCCTCTTCCTCGTTCTCCTTTCCATTTTTGTAATTCACTTTCTTCCTTTCTCTTTTGGAATTTCATTTTCTCCTGCTCCAGATTAAAAATTATCTGTTTCACTATCTTCACTTTCTAGCTCTGGATATTTTACCACACATTTTGCAATTTCTGTTTCCCTGGCCATAAGGTGGAACACCATTTCTTATGCCTTGCTACCCCTTTTTAACTGCTCCAAGCACAAGACTTTAAATTTCTCAAACGTTATCTCATCTGCTCTAGTGCTTTCAATTTAGTAACTCAGGAAAACAATTTTGAAGTTTCTTTTCTTCTTGAAACAACATTTAAGAAACAACTTATTGCCCCCATTCCAACTGTGTTGTTCACATCTGGGAATATCATGGTTGAACCTTCAAATTTATTATAAACAGGTGAGCTGGAGAAATTGACTCCTTTCATTTTTAACCCCTCATGGTCAGTCGCAACAATTATTTTTACTTCTTTTTAGCGTACAGCTACCAGACTTCAGTAAAAATGTTGTTTGCTCGAAAATAAAGCTAATTATACATACATTTTTTGGAAAATTATCATGCCAGTGTGAATTAAAGCAGTGGATACAAATTTCTTGCTAGCAGTTCAGTTGGCTGGTTTGGATGTGTTTAGGTAAAAATGGTAACTCAATGCAGGCAGCTTTGTTTATTCCACATGGATCTCCCAGAGCTTGCTATTATCTGTGATCAGGTGACAACTGCAGTCATTTCTGTTCATGTTTCTTCCTTTTCAAAAATGTTGTAGTTCATGAAAGAGCTCAAATATAACAATCATGTGATGGTCCACATTTACCATAACCATGTTAAAGAGTTGAGCTGTAATCACTGCTGCTGTTCTGTGATTGATATCACTCTAATTGTCACTTTGCAAATTCTGAGTACTTAAAGGATGCCTCAGACTTCTTGCTTATTCATAGATTTCTTTATTGTATTTAAAATCAGCTTGGTTACACATTTGAATTTTTTATATCTGGCAATGTATCAGTTTTCAGAGTAGGAACAGAGGATTTAGGAGCAGATGTAGGCCATTTGACACTTAGAGCCTTCTTTGCCTTTCACTAAGACCATGGCTAACCCGACTGTGGTTTCAAATCCATCTGCTCGTCTACTCGCTGCCATAACCATTGACTCCTTGTCTATCAAAAATGTATCTAACTAAACCTTGAATAAACTCAACGACCCAGCCTCCATTAATTTCTGGCAAAGAATATTACACAAACAAATGACCCTCTGATAGAAAGAAGACTTATCCTTGACTCTCTCTTAAGAGATACCTCATTTTTAAACTACATCTCCTAGTTTTAATCTTATTCATGAAGAAATATTCTCCTGGTAGCCACACCAACAAGTTCTCTCAGGCTTTTTATCTTATTTATTTAAGGGAAAAAAAAGGATAACTAGCAGAATTAGAACATTCAGTTTGCTTGCTGGCTCCTTCACTTAGTGTGATTAATCATGTTTTTGGGTGGCGCTGAGATTTTCTTTAGGGAGGTGTCCTGTGCATTCCTAAGAAGGTTAAAGATATTGTTGACTTTTTTAATTAGAGAAACAAGATTAGTCTTTCTTATTCAGTAAGTCAGGGATAAATATCTTTCTTTGAAATATCAGATTTATTGATGGAACCTGTACAGCAGTTTCAAACTCAGTGATGTCAGGATTTTCTGATATCAATTTGACCTTACGAAAAAGACAGAAAATTGAGAAACACCTCTAACGTCAATGCAAAACAGTCATATCAAAATCAGGACATTGAAGGGATTATTCTGAGCCTCCTGAAAAAGTCACAGTTGTACATTTGCTTGAATGTGAAGGAATGCAAGCCCAGAAAGTTGTCAAACAGGGGTGTAAAAAGTGGTTGTGGCATCTGCAGATTCTGTTGAACACTTTATAAACCCACCCAGTGTATAGTTTAATGATGGGAGCTTTTTCAGTGACATTCACAAAATGTATGTAATGAGATTGATGCTGTGTGCATGCATTTTCTCCTAGATAGTTGTGACTGCAGTTGGCCATTCAAAATATTGCACAGAAAGCTGCTGAGTTTCAATGGCAACAAACAAAATTGTTTTGCTTTAATTGTTCTAGGTTGATAAGTGCAGCATTTATTTCAGCAGACATGGAACTTGGGAAAATGATTCAAAATTAGTCAACATTGAAACTTGGTGAAGAAAAAAAACACTCCTAAGGCATTTTGGGTGTGGATCTGACTTTTTATGGCCATTGTAAAGATTGCACCTATTATTTATTACACACTGAACCTAATTTACCTTCAATGGACAAAATAAGGTGTGGTTTTAGGAGAAGTCAGACATGTCAAAATACATCACATTTAGAGATGTAATTTACTTCAAATAAGAAAGGTTTCAAATACTCCTGCATCATTTTCGTTCAGACAGTGTGCTCTCACTCATTGCGATAATAATCCTACACCTGCCGGAAGATGAAACGTAAAAAAGTAACGTTATTTGTGCATTTAATAATGCTTTGCCTCCATGTGTCAGGTAAGAATTTGAAATAAATGATAATTTAGCCAATACTTGCAATATGTGAAATTATTGTTATATTCTTCATGTGCAGTTTGTGAAAATTATTATTACATTTAAAAAAAAATTGGATAATGTTGGAAATTGGTTTAAATGTATTAGATTACACGTAAACTTTCAGGAACAGAAAGACATAACAAATAGAATTATGCACTTGGCATTTGGATAAAAGTAACATGAGACCTGATACCCAGAAGGTGTATTCATTGTGAATGTAACTCAATCTACTTTATTCAGTGCTGCTGGTGTTTAGGCAATAAATTGAACTGACACATTATTGCTCAAGTATTCCCTGAAAGAATCGAGTAAATTGTAAATGTTCCTTAAATGCTGAGGTAAAAGAGGGGTCATTAAACATGATAGGATGCTTTTATTTCGCAATAATGTTGAATGAAAATTATTTATTTTCTCTTAGATTGCAACATTATTTAGTTTGGATCCTTACATGTATAAAATTAGGGATGTATACTTTTGCAAAGTTGATTACATCAGAGAGATAAAAATATTTATCATGATTGACAAATTAAGTCAATTACAAAAAAATACTAAATAAAGGCTTCTACAGCTCATTCATGGCACCGTTAATATTGAAGAAGATGTTGTAGAACATTGTACAGGATGTCTTCTATGTTTCATTAAATGGATTATAAGGAATTATCAGTATTCTTTTATTTACTTATGATAAAATCATATGATGCCAGAGAAAATAATTTCAGGTACTCATTTAATCACCAATAAAAGTTGCTCAGATTTTGGCACTGATCATAATGATCAAACTGTCAGTGTTAGCCATTATTATTATTGAAAGCAACTTCCGGAGTTCACAAATATATAGTTAAAAATGGAAATCCAGAAATTGCTGGCAGAGATTCTTTCTTTGCTGAACTGACAAAAATACTGCCTTTACACACTAAATCTCACTGTAAAAGCTCTTGGAAAAGTTATACCGTGTTGAATGAGGTGTTTTAATGGTGTGATAAATTCATAATCCTTATTAATAATTCTTTGACCATCAGAAAGGGAACATGAAAATCAGAAAGAAGGGGAAATTAACAAACTGTAAGACAACATTTTAATTTCCTGTGGTATTGATTAAACATAAAATTCATCAATGATCCTTAGGTGCTCAGGTTCGGTAATGAACAATACCAGGAAAAAATGACAGAATTGGGCAAAGTATTTACAAAGTGGGGCAGCACGGTGGCTCAGTGGTTAGCACTGCTGCCCCACAGCGCCAGGGACCTGGGTTTGATTCCGCCCTCGGGCAACTGTCTGTGTGGAGTTTGCATGTTCTCCCCCTGTCTGCGTGGGTTTCCTCCGGGTGCTCCGATTTTCCTCCCACAATCCAAAGATGTGCAGGCTAGGTGGATTGGCCAAGCTAAATTGCCCATAGTGTTGAGGGATGTGTAGATTAGGTGGGTTATAGGGGGATGGGTCTGGGTGGGATGCTCTGAGGGTCGGTATGGACTTGCTGGGCTGAAGGGCCTGTTTCCACACTGTAGGGATTCTGTGATGAAATTAAATCATTAGATTAGTGCTGGTCTACATGTGAGTTAAGAAGAGGAGTAGGCCATTTGGTATCTCAGGTTAATTATCTGAGGAAGGATTTTCTGTCTGTGGAAGGAATGCCATGAAGGTTTTCCAGAATGATCCCCAGGATAGCAGGACTAATGTATGAAGAAAGACTGGATCAATTATGATTCACTGGAGTGTAGAAGAATGAGGGGACATCTCATTGCAATCTATAAAATTTTAAGAGGACTAGACAGGATAAACACAGGAAGAATGATTCCAATGATTTGGAAGTCCAGAACCAGGGGTAACTGTCTAAGGATATGGGGTAGGCCTTTTAGGACTCAGATGAAGCAAAATTTCTTCACCCAGAGAGCCCATGGAATTCTCTGCCACAAAAAGCAGTTGGGGCCAAACTCTTGAAAGCTCTCACGGAGGAGTTAGATATAGCTCTTAGGGCTAAATGCATCAAAGAGTATGGGGGAGAAAGCAGGAACAAGGGACTGAGTTGGATGATCAGCTGCAAACTTATTGAATGGCGAAGCAAGCTTGGAACAGCGAATGGCTGACTCCTGCTCTTTTTTACTAAGTTTCTCCAATTATTGCTGTAAAACTCAATTTTGAAGAAAAATAACCTGTGTTATATTTGTGATTTATTTTCCTTTGCTGTTCAATGTGTAATTTTAAATCAGTTTTGATTCTATAATCAATATGAAATTAATTTCAGACAAAGTTCCCTTAAAGTAATAATTCAATACATAAACTTGGTCCAATTCTTTGAGCAAAATGTGAATGATTCAGAGTAATCTCTCAAAGAACATTGTTGGTTGATGGTCACTTTACATGCCAAATCTGAAAGAAAAGAAAAACTAGCGTTTATATAAATGTTTTCATCACAACTCGACTTTTCAAAGTGACTAGAGTCAACAAAATACATAAAAATTGTAAACATTATTGAATTGGAGGAAAAATAGCAACCAGTTCTCACACACAGTGATATAATAATGACCAGCTAACTTGTTTTTGTGATGTTGATTGAGGAGTAAGCAATAAAATGGAAAATGGAAATCTGATTGATGAAAAATATGACCATCCTAGGTCCAATGCACTGTGCCTTAATTATGTTATGCATCTTTGGCTAGCCCATCAGACAGAGAAGATGCATCATTTGTTAAACATCAGAAATGGTGGGCAGGGTCGGGGGTTGGGGCGTGGGTGGAGTAATTAGCAAGCAGCTAAACTTCAGTTGAATTTTCTGCAGTATTGATCAAATATAATATTCATCACTGATGATTTGGTGTTCTGGTTTGGTAATGAAAAATTACCAGGGAAAATTTTTAGAATTGGGCAAACTGCATCCAAATTAAACCACTGGTGGATATATGAGTTAGGAGCTTGAGTAGGCCATTTGGCCCCACAAGCCCGTTCCACCATTCAATAAGACTTTGACAGATCTCCTTGTAACTTCAACTGCATTCCTGCATGCCCTTGAAACCCTATGACTCCTTTCTCAGTCAAGAATCTGTTTAACTCACCTTTAAAAATGCGCAGTGACTCATTGCCCTCTTGGGAAGTTAATTCCATAGATTCCTGAGCCTCTGAGAGAAAAATAAATCCCCACATCTCTGTGCTAAATTGGTGATCCCTTATTTTTAAACTGTGTTCCAATTCTAGTCTCTCATACAAGAGAAAACATTATTTCTAAATCTACTCTGGCAGGTGATTTTGCAACAAGATTACCCTTCATTCTCCTAAACCCTGATAGATACTGGCCTAATCTGTCAAACCAACCTTCGCTGAACTGCTTCTAATATAATTATGTCTTATCTTAAAGTTGTACACAATATTTGTAGATGTGGTCTTTCTAATGCCTTGTACACGGTGGTATAACATGTTTACTTGAATATTCCTTTTCCCTTGCATTTTCCAACAACATTCCATTTGCCTTCAAATCTTTTGTTGCATATTTGTAGTATTTTTTTCTGATTCATGTACTAGGACACAGAGTTCTGCAATCTCTCCCTAATGAAATGATATGCCACTTTTATATTCTTCCTGTCAAAATGGAAAAGTTCATATTTTCTCACATGTAATTATGATTACTAAAATAAACCATTTTGTTCTATGTAGCAAACAAGTGTCACCCTGACTACCGAACAACGTGAAAGCTCAAATCTGAAAACATGAATTGTGAAACATATTGGTTCTGTGCCAATTTGTGCATTGTGCCAATAACTATAAATCTCTTTCCTAATATTATGATTACACATCCAGACAAAAGAAATCAAAACAAATTTTGATGCCAACAGTATTATATTTTTTGTAGCATTCTGCTAAATGCATGTAAAAGCTACTGCCTTCACACATTGTGAAAATTCAACCCTCGATATTTTTGTAAATTACTCTCTAAGGTATTTCCATGAGATGCTCAGTTTTGTGAAGTTATTTTACACCTGGGTTCCAGATCTTATGGGAGAAGTACATTGTGACATGATGACGTGAATTTTGCAAGGCTGTTATTGTGTGATTAAACCTCAGGATTGACAGCTTGCAGAATGAGATGTGAAGAATGCTTGCACGCTTGATTTGTATCATACTTAATTTCACAGCATCCAAAAATTGGAAGAAAAAGAATAGAATGCTGGGAGTCCAACATGAGCTCATTAAAAACATACGCGTTAATTACTGTTGATAACAGATTACGTTTTCATGCCTTTACATAGAACATAGAACATAGAACGGTACAGCACAGTACAGGCCCTTCGACCCATGATGTTGTGCCGAACTTTTACCCTAAACCTAACGTGTATTTAACCTCCACCCCTACCTTATACTATCATCCATATGCCTATCTAGTAGCCGCTTAAATGCACCTAATGAGGCCGGCTCCCCTACCCTCTCCGGCAATGCATTCCATGCCCCGACCACTCTCTGAGTAAAGAACCTATTTCTGATGTCTCCCCTATATCTACCGCCACTCACTTTAAAACTGTGCTCCCTCGTAATAGCTACCTCCACCCTAGGAAAAAGTCTCTGGCTGTCCACTCTATCTATAGCTCTGATCATTTTGTACACCTCTATCAAGTCACCTCTCATCCTTCATCGTTCTAAAGAGAAAAGTCCTAGCTGTCTCAACCTTTCCTCGTAAGACCTTGCCTCCATTCCAGGCAACATCCTGGTAAATCTCCTCTGCACCTTTTCCGACACTTCCATATCGTTCCTGTAATGAGGCGACCAGAACTGGACACAATACTCCAGATGTGGCCGAACCAGGGTTTTGTACAACTGGAGCATAACTTCACAGCTCTTGAACTTGATCCCTCTATTAATGAACGCTAACACACCATACACCTTCTTAACAACTCTTACCTCTAAACTGGGACCAAATTCCCTGGTGTTCAGACAGTGGGGTGAATTTTCTCAGTCCCATGGAGGTGGGCTTGGAGTTTGGATAGGGGTAAGACATGGGAAGTAATGTGAGTCCCTGTTAATGTGGCTTCCTGACATCATTTCTTCCTACAGCAAAGTTGCCTTGTGTTGTACTGCCCCATAAGAAAGCAGCTAATCCAGACAATTAAGGCCCCACTGAAAGGCCATTTTTCCACACAGATTTTTCCGTGCCAAAAAGTCATTCCTGCTGGATCTGGAGTTCATTAACAATTTAGCACTGGCGATCGGAGGTTGATCAAAGGGATATTAGAGCTTTGCAATGCACCTGACTGAGCCACAAACCTGAAGAGATGACAGTTCTACACCATCAAATCAGAGCTGAAAATCATCCCAGCTGTTGTGATGAAAATCATTGCTAAAAATCTAGCTTATCCAAGCTGTTCTCCTGCAGCATCGCAAATATGACCAATTACCCGGGCATATCCTGACCATATAAAGCAGAACAGTTCTGATGTGGCTACTCTTCATCCCAAAGGTCCATTCTCAAGCGTCAGCAAAGTGATGAAAGGTGTTATTGACAGCACCATCAAGCAGTACTTAGCAAATAACCTGCTGATCAATGTTCATATTGAGTTTTACAAGGCAAGGCGGTAAGAGTCGAAACAGGCAGCCCGAGGTAGTGAGAGCGGGAACAGGCAGCCCCGAGGTGGTGAGAGCAGGAACAGGCAGAATCGAGGTGGTGAGAGTGGGAACAGGCAGCCCCAGGGCTGGCGGCAAGGGTGAGGTCAAGCCCTTGTGACGGGTTTGAGCCCAGCATGGCCAGGCGCTTACAGACTGTGATGTTGAACGATTAACTGTGTTTCTTTGTTCTTCTACACTTTTGTAAGAAGGACCATAATGTTTATCTTCTTAACTTGACTTATTTATGTTTCTGCTTCGCACAAAGATTCTGCGCCTGGGTACATTTGTACCTAAGATGGTGCCATAAGTGGCAGTGTGCAAATGTTGCACAGTACTGATGCGAGTAAGTACATCTGACAATAAAACCTAGTGCTAATTCTAATAAAAGGACCTTTTAAATCTAGACTTCATTACAGCCATGGCCCATAAATGGACCAAGGAAAAGGTGCATAATTCCACAGGGTCAGTGAGAATGGCTTTCCTTGACATCAACGTAGTACTTGAAGATGTGGCATCGGGAACAAAGGGAATAACAGAAGGCAGTGGGAATAAGGGATATGCCCGCCAACTGGGAGTCAAATATTGCAGAAAGAAAAATAGTCGTCATTGATACAGGTTAATTGGACAACGACATAACTTCAGGAAAGTATATTTGGCCCAACCTATTCACTGCACAAAAATCTGACTTATGCTCCAAGAGTAATATGCCTTCAAGTGAGTTCACAGGAAAGGATTCCATGTGCTATGTGTACAGGATGTTGCATGAAGTTGCATGAGAATCATGTGCAATTGGTTCTTGGTGATTGAAATGATGACAAGATCAAGAAATAATGGAAAAAGCAAGGAAAACATGATTGTACCATGTTGTTTATCACAAAGTTGCATGGGATATCATGTGCAATTGGCTCTTCAGGTTTGAATTTATGACAAAAATCAGAAGTTGTGTGATTCAGGGAGATTCTTTGACATTTCAGATTTCATAATAGAAAGAGCTCAAACTTTGGACAAGTTTGCAAAAGTGTTGTTCCATGCTCTATTTGTGCGACAATATTAATGTGATCTGATTCTACAGCAGTGGAGGTAATTTCGACTGCAAGTATGGAGAGCCCGACAACGTCACCGCCCACTTTATCAGCCGCTACCTCAACAAGTTCAGTTACATCAACTTCAACACTGTCCTCTGCTGAAGTTTCAACAACTCCATCAGTCTCTTCCATAACTGGTGGGTAAACAAATGCACACTTTTGAACTATTCTTCTAGTGACATTTTTTAATGGCGTAAAGAGGAAAGCAGGTACATGAAACACAACTGTATATTTAAGTTGCATGATGCTGACTTTATTTGGCCGCAGGGTATAATGGGCAACATCCTTTTCGTTATCCTGGTCGTACCAATAGGCCATGTTATATTTCTTGGTATCTTGCAATATATGTATGAAGCATACTTGGAGTACCATTTCTGTTGGAACATTTGCACATTGTTCTCGCCAATTCAGTTCCCTAATATCCATGTGTATGTCATTTCATCACAGC